TCACAATACATATACTCCTTGATGATGTTTATTGTAAAAAACAGAGAAATATTTGATACAAACAAAGCTCACTATGAAATTAATACCAGACACATTATGGACATACACATGACCCAAGTAAATTTGGTGATAGATGGAAATGGGGTGTATCATACGGCGGTAAGGATTTGTAATGCACTTCCCAACTCACTTAAGCTAATTTCAAAGGATATAAAAAAGTTTAAAGACAAATTAAAGGAATTTTTATATTTTAATTCTTTTTATACATTGGATGAATTTTTTATGAGATGATGTTTTATGGTTATAATATATAATTATTTAAGCAATGTGGTAGTTGGATTAAAGCTTTTTTAGTAAGAAACTTAAACTATCTGACAAAACAGGTTTTATTTGATTATGCCTTTTTAAATTGTACATATTATAACTTGCATTTCTTATTACCAATTATACTCAATTTGTTATCTTATATTGTTAATGTTTAGTTACAGCTATTATCATTAATTATATTAACATTCTAAACATATTCTAACATATTATAAACTGGTTTTTAGATAATTGCTTCAATGTATAAGCAAGATTTGTACGTAATATTTTGACTGAATTTTTATTCTAAAACTGTCTATGTTTTTATTGTTTTTAAGATTAACTCTTTTATGACTAATGTAAACCTTCTCTACTGTTAATTGTTTTTTGACAGCTGCTTGATTGATAAACAAGATGTGATTAAGCTACTTGACGATTTCTATATCTAATTGGTTGTTTTTCGACCTTGTAAAGATCTTATGGAATGTGAATGAATGAATGAATGAATGAATGAATGAATAACACTTTATGGGTGTTGTCCCACCGTCCTCCCCCAGGTAATGGAATTGACCTTTGCATTGTACAGTGAAATGTTATCGAAAATCCAGTAAATAGATTACATACTTTTTATGTCAGAGTTGGTTTATGTGCTCTTTTCTTTTTCAGTGGGAAGTGGAGTGCCTGGGCTCCAACATGGATGTGTGGTGTAGAATTGAAGCACTCCACAGTTGGTATAGTAGGATTTGGGCGAATTGGACAGGGGGTTGCAAGGAGGCTAAACGGCTTTAGTGTCAACAGGATACTTTATTCAGGAAGATATGAGAAGCCAGAAGGAAAAGAAATTGGTGCAACTCATGTCTCTTTCGATGATCTGGTGTCAGAGAGTGATTTCATAATAGTAACCTGTGCTCTCACACCAGAAACCAAAGAAATGTTTAATGATGCTGTCTTTGCCAAGATGAAACAAAATGTTATATTTATCAATACAAGTAGAGGAGGTAAGGGCAAAATCCTGTAAAGATAATTTAATTTATAATCTGTTAAGATGCTATGGGCAAATTCTAGGCATGGAAGTTCACTATAAGTATCCTTAAACTTACATGACAGCAGCGTTCCCAGTAGGGGTAATTATTGTAACTCAAAATTTTTGCTAATTTTTATTACTCCCTTGGTTTCACTTCCTTGAATTTTCAGTTAAACATTCGTGGTTAACTTTAATACAGTTAATTTTTTGGATTTATAAACCCTTGTGGTTTTAGGCAAATAATTTTGTTCTTGTAGAATTTGAGGTTCTGACAGTGGTCGCTGTGAAGAGCTCTGTCTTCTGGGATGTAACGCCAGGCAGGCAATGTTTGGTGGAACATGTCACCTGCATCTTCATGTCTGAAGAGTAAGCCAGACAAGAAACCAGTATGTAGCTTTTGCTTGCTGCCTGCTTCACTCTGGTTTCATGCCTGGTCTTATTCTTCAACAATGGAAACAGAGGTAACATGTTTCTCTGAAACATCAGTTGGCATTCAGCAGACTACATAGCATTGTATCCCAGAATCTAGAATTCTTCAGTTTCGTTATTATTAGTCCTTACAGAAAACAAACACAAACAATGCATATGAAATTGTATTAATGCTAAAGTCAAAAATGTATAAATTTGGAGATACCTTTAATACATTAGACAACCCATATAAAATGGAAGTGTCTGAGGAAGAAGGAAAAGAAGATGAGTTTCATTGTGCTCTTTAAAAGAAGTAAATATGAAATTTTACAAAAGTGTTGTATGCCATCATGATTCCATTGCCCTGAACAGCTGTTTCTTTCAGACATGATAGAAGGTGTTAATGTCTTTATGAAATGACAAGGAAATAGAAGGATTTCCAGTGTATGAGTGAGATATGCAACATACAGCTTTTTAATTGTAATATTTGTATGCATAGGTGTAGTAGACCAGCCTGCCCTGCAGCGAGCCCTTGAGAACAGGACAATCCTAGCAGCAGGCCTGGATGTCACCACACCCGAACCCCTGCCTCCTACACACCCTTTGCTTCAACTAAAGAACTGTGGTGAGAATGCAATGAATTTAAGTAGGTGTTTAATAACTCTTTGACTGGCGCGAAGGGTATTTAAATGTCCTGGCAGACCCTCTAAGCTTTAAGTTGCTAAAATGCATGTGTTTACTTTTTTTTTAAATAACTTCAACGAAAGTTGGTTTTTAAATACAAAATTTTCAGGAACTAATAAAAAGACAATATTTTATGCAAAAAAAAAGACTTTTCATACCTTTTTAGTAGTTTTTTCTTCGTGTGATAAACATTGAAACATGAAAGTTTGCAGAGAGCCACACCACAGCTTGCACACATGACACTTGTTTCCTTTCTAATCTTGTGCTTAGCACACACACTACACTTTCTCGTGGCACCATTCTTCTTCTTGTTACTGGGAGGAACATGGACCATTTTGTATATTTTTAGGCCACCCTCTAGACGACTTGCTGGGTCCTTCACTGGTGGTCTTTTCAAGGTCACGGGCGGACGTGTGACTACACTGGAGTCTGAAGCAATAGATTCGTCATCCACTTCATTCCTCGACTCTTCTCCCTCTCTGCCCTGTTTGTTTGGTTCTGTCATTTTTTCTACACGGTCCAGTATAAAATCTTTGAATTTGTATTTTCTCTTCTTGTATTTTTCGTTTGTTGTGTTCTTTTTGAATAGAATGAAACTATTCAACGCTGCCATTTGCAACAAGAAAAACGCCAGTTTCTTTGTCCACTTTACAGTTTTGCGGGAACAAGAATGATAATGCAGCATTTGATTGGCCCTGTCAACCCATCTCATATGTTTATTGTGGTCCCCAATTACCTCAGGTCTGCATATTTTTTCTCCTTTGCGATTCGTTTTTGCAGATCCACGATTTTTGCAGTGTGAAGAGTGGAGATAAGTTTGACATCTCTTTTATCTCTCCACACCTGTATGAGAACCTGCCCCTTCCTAGAAAACACAGATTTCCCCTTTTTCAAATTTTTTACATCATCCTTTAGTTCTTTAGGAGCTCCTCTGTTCGTTCTGAAGGTACCACACACAGGTATTCCTCTGTAATAACATCTCACACAATTCTACACTATTGTAATAGTTATCCTGGTAGAGATGATACCCTTTATCTAGAAGCTGTGGCCCCCACAGATCAACAACTAATTCCTTTATAGGTCTTCATTTTCCGCAATAAATTTCAAAATTCCAAATATATCCACTTGTCGATTCACAAATAAGATAAGCCTTTATACCATACTTATCAGGTTTGTCTGGCATATATACTCGGAAGATAAGACGTTCTTTCCAAGCGATCATTCCTTCATCTATTGCTTCAGGATATATGTGTTTCTAAATTTCCCCACTAATGAGTCTATAATTGGCCTAGCTTTATACAGGCGATCTTCACAGTCAGCTGGTCGTGCATCATTGTCTGCAAAATGAAGAAATTTCGAGATCTCTTGGAACAGCCGCAAAGACATCTTTTGTCCATACCATGGAGTGTGAAATAGGGGCCTAGTGGACTAATATTCTTCAATTTCTGGGCGTTTGTCAATTCCTGTCATGAACACAATTCCTAAGTATGTCCACATTTCATCTGATGTTACATATTTGTAATTGTGTTCTCGAGAGTGTGGAGCTAATTCACGTGTTTTGAAGTGCTGGTGAACATAGCGATTGGTTTCAGTTGTGATGTGATTTGCTAAGTCATCATCATCATCATCATCAGTAATCTGTCAGACGACAGGTCCACAGTCTCTTCCAAAACAGTTCCTCCACTTAATGCGATCTAGAGCTTTCTCCTTCAAATGACAGAATCCTCTTCTGTCCCCATAGTTATCCAGCATCTTCTTACGTCTTCTTCTTCTTCGTCTTCTTGTCACTTCTATCCGCTCCTCTATCTTTCCTTCAATAACTTCTTTTAGAAGGCAGTTTCTGCGTAAAACATGACCAATCCAATTAGCCTTCTGTTTTCTTATTTCGTGTAGGATATTCCTCTGCTCACTGACTCCAATTAACACTTCTTNTGTGACTGGGGTTGGTTGTCTCGAAATTTTCATTACTTTTGTTTTCTCCACATTCATTTCCATGCCATAGCACCTTCCAATTTCAATTAGTCTATCAATCATGCCCTGTAGCACAGTTTCTTCCTTAGCCATTAACACAAGGTCATCTGCATATTTCACAGTTTGAATAATTTGCCCTCCTAATTTGAAGAGTCCGAGCCCATCCAGCTCTTCCTTTGTAAGGCATTCGCTGTACAAGTTGAATAGAATTGGTGATAAACAGCATCCTTGTCGAACTCGTGGTGGCTAAATGTTCTTGTGGATCATTGTCTATCACTGTATTATTGTCACTATCAACTTCATCTAATTCAGGAATCATTATTTCATCGCCACTTTCATCATCAGCACAAATCTCGTTCACAACACTTTCCAGCTGGTCTGTAGGAACATTCCGACACTTGCTGCGAGAAGCCATGGTGAAACTGAATGAATGTAAAATATTTTATGACCTTTTCCTTCTTGGAGGGTTCTGACAATAATATAGACCCCCACAAAGTCAACAAGGGTTCTTTACAACCATGCACAAGAACTATCATAAATATGTCTTTGGTTGATAAGTGCCAAGACAGCAAAGAAGGGAAGAGTGTATCAAAGCGTTAAAACATGCCAATGCCAGGGAACGGCTGGCATCGTCCAGGCATAAAAACGCGCCCGCACCAGTCAAAGAGTTAATATGTGCTGTGTGCATCCTGGCAGATAATGCAGTTAAAAAGTAATTTTTATTTTTCAGTCAAATAATATTTATTTCCACAAACTCTTCTGCCTAATTAATTTTAAATTGAAAGTATTTTATAATAATTAACTAGCTCAATTCATTATTCAGTAGACTGAGTGGGACTTCCAGTTCCAGTCCTCCATCTTCTGATATCTGCATCACGTTTTCTACTCTTGGCTTACAATTTTTTCCATAAAACTGAAGGCAGCAGGTTCCTGTGAAACACTGGTAATATTCTACCAGTCTACATTGCATCATATCACAGAAGACTCTTCATTAGTCACCACTGTAAGAACCAGAAGTTTCACAGTACTTAGTTCAGTTCTTGCCCACAAAATGTAGTTCCACAAGACTAACTTCACTTTTATGAGCCAGGATAGCTCAGCCAGCAAAGTAACTGGCAGTGGGTTATACTGCTGAAGTTTACTTACCAGCAGGAGAAGGAATTCTGCTTACTGCAATGTCCATATTGACTCCACAATATACACAGCCTCCTGCCCCATGAGTACTGGATGCTTTTTGTGGGGAGTGGCCAGAATGTGAAGATTGCCAAACACATTCATATAATTCTGAGACTGCAATTTGTGGAGCTTCACCTACAGTACCTCTGTATGTAATTATGGCATGGTGCTCTGGCATAGGAACTAACTTAATTTTATTTTACCTCCTGTAAAGTGTCCTCTTTCCATGAGTTCTTCCAATAAATATTCTGTATAATTTCTTGTTTCCCCTATATGTTCTTCAAGTTCTTCTCATTCCATCCTCCTCAGTATAATCCATTTACAATCGTCTTCTAAAACCAGTTCCATTATCCTGAGGTCTCTGTCCTTCAGATTTAGATTTATAATTGTGTCTCTTCTAACTCTGTTAACGAATACTGAATTCCGTCTTCTAAAAATTTATTCTCTAATTATAACCTTCTGCCTTATCTAACCAACTTACAATACCAGGCAAAAATAAAGTTCTGAAGTTCCTCATTATATGATGCTGTACTTACACATATTGTTTCATTACAGTAATAGTACCGCATATTGGAAGTGCCACAACGTGGACCCGTGGTGAGATGTGTATCCTTACAGCCCGCAACATCATTGCAGCTTTAGATGACAAACCTATGCCTGCTGAAGTTTTGTGAAGTAAAACTCTGAAAGGCACTTGCAGCATGATTATACCAGTCATGCAGAGTAATGGTAAGTGACTGAAATCAGGGATTCGGTCATATTTTCAAGTTTTCTGAATTTCACATGAAGAAACATTTCAGTGGTGTGTGTATAAATTTATTGAAAGAGAATGTAAAGTGTGAAGGGGGGAGGGGGTATAGCAATGCAGTTTGCTGGAAGATCAAACTGAAATTCATATGACAAGTTATAGAGCATACCCCCAGTACTAGGCTTCATGATAATCTGTTGAGTGGATCTTGAGACATACAACAGATATAACCTAATTTCTTTAACACTTTCTTCAAAGCACAGATGCAAATTGGTATGGAGAAGAGATTAGAAATGGGTTGAGTGGATATTACGTCAGCATTGATATCAGGATTTGAGGCTTCACTATTAGACCAACACCCAGTATGATGTTGACACGGCGAGTTCCTTCCTTCAGTTGTAACTATTATATTGTGACATATTTGTGCTATGCAGGACACCCCCCACCTGTGATGACATAACAGCAGAGCAGCTGTGTCAGGCAACCATTGTTGTGGTGAAGTAACAGCATAGGAGCCGCTGCCACTGCTACTGTAACAGGCCAGTAACCCCCCCCCCCCTGTGGTGACGTAACAGGGGACACCACTGTTAACACAAGGCAACAGGGAATGGTATAAAAGGCCGGCTGAGTGGTGTGTGAGACAGTGTGTGATTAGGAGTGACACAGTATGGATCGTGAAGTCGCCGAGTGCAGCGGAAGTCCACCAGCTACGAGTTGGGTTATATTGAGTGCATGGCAGGGACTCCAGCAGGAGAAGTAATTGTGATACTGACAGTGGCAGTAATTGAGAAATTGTGAATTGTGTAACTGTAAGAGCGAGTGGAATAAATTCACTAGATCCAAAAAGGCGTGAAGTTATTTGTCGCGTTACCAACACCCAACACGTGACAATATATATGATGTTGTATAACTTTGTATAGTAATGTAAATATTTCAAGTTTTAGGGTTCAGAAATAAAGGCATCTGTGAGCTTATCTTCTTCATCCTCCAAATTTTGGGTAGGATCTTCTCCATTCTGAAGCAATGTACACTGTTGGTCCTTTGATCCCTCCCTAGCCACTCCAAGCCTCTTTGTCCTTGGTGGGGGACATCTATATTTCCGTTGCTGCTCTGGGTAGGAAACCTAGTGGCAACTGTTGCAAATATTCCTTCTGTTTCCTGTAGTACTTCCTAGTTGTGTGGATCATCCTTTATGAAGAAGGCAGTCTTCTGGGGTATGGCGCCATGTAGATATTGTGTTAACTGACGTTTGAGAGGAACGTATCGCCTCCATCTTCAGAGTGGAAAAAAAAGAAGAAAATCTGCAAGCAAAGAACCAGATCCAATAAAAATTCAGTTGACATGATAGAGTCATAACATGAGTTATTTTTAATTGATTGTTGTGTTCGACAGGTGTACAAAACAATATATAGACACACACATACAGTGATAAATACACAACAGGATGCATTCCTTGAAGGATTCTTCTAAGATGTGACACCTTGTAGTTTGGCATGTAAGCATCTCCTCCCTCTATGTTAATAGTATAAGGCATCCACTCTGATGATGGAGACAGCAAGTTCTTCTGGAATATTGTTATTCATCTACCAAATTACACATTGTCACATCAGAAAAGGGCCGTTAACCTAATTCTCACCACCTTTAGAACATCAAATCTTGTGTGGATTCACCTAGCTCAGGACAGGAGCCAGTGGCAGGCCCTTGTGAATATAGTAATTAATATTTGGGTTCTATAAAGGACAGGAAATTTCTTGACTAGTTAAGCGGTTATTAGCTTCAAAAGGACTCTGCATCATGGTGTATGGAAATTTGGTTTCAAGAGCTAATAATAGATTGTTTCTATAAAATATACTGGTTTTAAAGTCCATTTTATCTTAACACATTCAGTGCCATGCTCCTCTGCTGGGGTTATACCAACTGCGGGGCCAGCCATTTTTTGATTAAAACTGGAATGTAACTTAAAACATTCAAAGCAAATAGGTGCAGAACAATTGTCATATTCTTTGTGTTTCAGCTTTGCAGTCTTTAACAAGCTATACTTAAGATGTTCTTTCCATTTGGATGACATCTTTAGGAGAATGTTATGTTTATATTCACAGCTGCAACAGCCCATCACTTGACAGACTTGGCACTGGTACCTGGTAAGCTTTAACCATCTGGTGATAGGATGGGCAGTGAATGTGTTAAGAAGTATAAAATACATGGATATATACATCTGCGTATCAAATCTGTTATTGAATATGAGGATAAATATGGGAGACAATGAAAGAAAAGTGATTTCAGATAACCTATATGTTCAAGGTGCTTTGAAAGTTAGTTATTTGAATACATGTAAAGTATATTCTGTTAAGAATGTATAATTACTTGATAGAAGTGACTCAAGTTACTGAGCGTTACATTAACAGTGAATTACACTTTTCCGTGTCCTCTCTGTTAATCATGCACCTTTCATTGGAGAAAATTGGAGCATTCAGGGCACAACCCAGTAAAAACCAGTTTCTCTTTCCATGAAATAGGCATGTTTTATACTATTGTAATATTATTATTATTAAACACAAAAACAGTTTCTTTCAACAGTACATAGGACTGCATGTATATAATCTCCCACTAACAAGCCTTAAGTTGTTACCAGTTTGACTGTGTAAATATAAATGTTAAAGATTTTGCAAGGTCACCATATTGTCATATGTTAGTGACAACATGGGCTTGGGTTGATAATTGCATTTACTGAATGCTTATAACAACAAGGTGGTTCAAATATGACCGGGACTGATTTTTTTTTAAACCAAAATTGCCAAACACTTACTTGCACATGTCAGTCTTTAATGTACTCCCCTCCAGAGTCGAACACATTTTTTCCAACGTTCTGGAAGCATCCTGATGCCCTTTTCAAAAAAGTATTGTGGTTGGCGGCGTATCCACTCCCAAACATTCTGGATGACGGTGTCGTCCACAAACCGCGTGCCTTGCAAGTCTGATTTGAGCCTTCCGAACAGGTAGAAATCACTTGGTGCCAAATCGGGACTGTACGGCAGATGTGTCAGAAGGTTCCATTTCAATTTCCAGAGAGTTTCCATTGTTGTTTTGGCCATATGGGGGCATTCATTGTCTTGAAGGAAGGCTACCCGCTTTCCACCTCTCTTCCACTTGGATCAGATCTTTTCCTTCACGTCTGTTGCCAGGAGGTCTGAGTAATAAGCT